GCTCGATGTTGGAGGTCTTCCAGATCGAGAGTACTGGTCTCCAGGTAGCTATCCATGGGTGACTCCATACTAGAAGTTTCGCAGCTGTTTGGAGGTGACATGAATTCCAAAGGTCTTCTCCAGTCAGGCTGCGACTGGAGATGACTTCATATTTTGGTGTACATGAAGGTGATGGGCGAGCGCCAGCTCCTGCTTATAGAGGAACATCTTGGGTATCTTCCGCCCTGGTACTCGTATCCACGTCTCTGTCTGGGCTGCGAAAACTTTGCTGATATGTGACTCGGTCGAAATGTCTTTTTTTGCCCCCCCCCCTGTATACGACTGGCTTAACAGAAGTCCGTGACCTCGGACAGGCGCTCCGTGGCGCCTTTTCCAAGGAGGGTACCCCTATAACGCCCTATCGAGCAACAACATTCCGTCCCAAACGCCTTCCTTGCCCGCCCGCCCACAAACGGACGACCGTTCTGACGCTCGTATTCATTCATTTGCTAAGCAAATTATGAAGCAAAGGGATTGGTATGAAGCGGCCGTGATGCTGCATGCATACATGGGTACACATATGCAGCCGTATCTTCGGTAGCGGTGATTGGTAAGATGCCTACGGGAAACTCGTCCGAAATCGATTTTCAAGTCACTGAGAACGGAGGCTTTTTCTTCGCCGGATTTTGACCGTTTCACTCCGTTCTTTCGCCATTTCCCCACTACATAGCGCCCTACTAGCATTTTAGGCCGAGTGACCATCGTGCCAACTGCCTTTAAGGTGGCTGACACTATCGCCGATCAAAATCTCTGTGAGCAATGGAACTTTTCCGCTGAATCTCAGTCCTTGTTGGTTACTGACGGCCCTGATCACAACCACGACATTCACTTTTGGCTTCCATGCCACTTGGAATTAGTTTGGCGACACAACACACCGCAGCGATTAATGCCGCCGAAACCAGCTATCAAGAGTATCTTTCAGGAGTGTTCCAGAATGGCTCCATTCCTCCAGCATGGCTCCATTCCTGCAGAAATAACATTTTTTGGTAAGATCAGGTCTCCTAACCCCGCAAAAGTGCTTTAGGATGTGCAGGGAGCATTTTTGAGAAAATGCAAAACGACGACTTCCGGAGGGATCCTAACCCTTGACTTTGCACGTATGAGGCCTGTCGCTTATCCACTACGCCATTGAGGGACGTCCGCGATAAGCTCACCCATCATTTATACTATTTTCACTTTAAATCGGACACTTTTCAAACCAAATCGGACACACCCCTTACAAAGGGCAGTTGATAACTAGACCACACTAGGTACTGCTGCAAGCCCCGCCCCAACACCCACTTTCCAGCGCGGTCACGGTTTTCCAAAATGTTTTATGAAATCTGCTTCTTCGACTTTTTTTCACTTTTGCTAGTTGCACACACACTTCAACTGAAAAGGATTGGTACCGATACAGATCTGACTCCGCCCACTTCACAATCAAGTGACGTAAGTTCTGAATTTTTATAACTTCTTTCGACGTCGGTTTTTTCACATTCAATCTTTCACAAAACGAATTAGTCATGCTTTTACACACTAGCACACTAGGCCCCGCCCCTCTGACCACGCCCACTTTCGTTTTTCGCGGAATTTTGATTTTTCTTCCGAATTTTCACTTTTTTAGGCTGTGACAAGCGGCCCCGCCCACTAATGGAAGCTCCGCCCACTTTGTAGAAGCCCCGCCCACTTTTCAAAAATGATGCAGATCGGCGAGCTAGTGACCGTACTAGCAGGTTATGGCCTCTCCCGTCACATAGAATGAAAAAAGGAAAGACCACAAAAAAGGAAACTTTGTTCCGGAGTGACGGGAGAGGCTATAAACTGCTAGTAAGGTCACTAGCTCGCCGATCTGCATCATTTTTGAAAAGTGGACGGGGCTTCTACAAAGCGGACGGAGCTTCGATTAGTGGGCAGGACCGCTTTTCACAGCCTAAAAAAGTGAAAATTTGGAAGAAAAATCAAAATTCCGCGAAAAACGAAAGTGGGCGTGATCAGAGGGGCGGGGGCCAGTGTGCTAGTGTGTAAAAGCATGACTATATTCGTTTTGTGAAGATTGAATGTGAAAAAACCGACGTCGAAAGAAGTTATAAAAATTCAGAACTTACATCACTTGATTGTGAAGTGGGCGGAGTCAGATCTGTATCGGTACCAATCCTTTTCAGTTGAAGTGTGTGTGCAACTAGCAAAAGTTAGAAAAAGTCGAAGAAGCAGATTTCATAAAACATTTTGGAAAACCGTGACCGCGCTGGAAAGGTGGGCGGGGTGTTGGGGCGGGGCTTGCAGCAGTACCTAGTGTGGTCTAGTTATCAACTGCCCTTGTAGGGGGTGTGTCCGATTTGATTTGAAAAGTGTCCGATTTGGTTTGAAAAGTGTCCGATTTGGTTTGAAAAGTGTCCGATTTGGTTTGAAAAGTGTCCGATTTGGTTTGAAAAGTGTCCGATTTAAAGTGAAAATGGTATATGTACTTGCTGAGCATTGGTGGTCTCGAGCAGTGGTCTGCTCAACAAGCCTCCATAATTCTGCTCGGAGAATCGTTTAGCAGATTTGGAGGGCAGATTTGAAATCAGTGTCCAAAGACGCATCAGCCGGTATACATCTCATTTCAAATGGCCACTTCGACACATCATCCTTTCCTGATAAGTCTCATAATCTATAAAATAGGTACAGAAGACCTTGATTTCTTTTCGGAGCATGGTGATCTTCTTTGAAATCTCATCCATTGTCGGTCTTTGGTCGGGATTGAGCGACCTGAAATGTGCAGTAATATAGACGTCATCCCTGCTTTCCATGGAACGAGTGACGGGGGGTGTTGTGACTGGACTGCAGCCTGAACAGCCCTTCCCGCCAATTGATGCGGGCCCAGGATGGTATCATTGATGAAGAAGCTTGCTTGGCAGCGCTTCAGTCCACGTCCCCCGTCAAATGCTCCTTCATCGGCTAACAGGACTGTAGTGTGGGCACTGACGAGCACATGGTCAGCCGCTTCTATTTACTGATTATCAGTTATGCACACTCAGGAGCTTCGCTAACAAGGACGTGACGTGCAGATGGAGTCACTGTGTTTCCCTAGTAGTAAGTCCTGATCACTCACCAAATCTTCCCCACCATATCTTTAATGGCAGGTGGAGTTTTGGCTGGGAATTCTAGCATTTTGCCCTTCCTGAAAGATTTCATCACGGTGACGCAGTCAAAAATATTGTCTTCCAATGGGAGCTACGAAACCTTATGAGAGTGGCAATTTTTTTCGGTGGATCGTCTGGCCATGGCTTCTGACCCTCATTGAATATTTCGTAAAGAAGCTGGAAACGGTTGACTCATCCTACCATATTTCCTCCTTCAAACATGTACTCACCACACCATAACTCCAAATATCGCTTTTTAGTGACCACAATTGCGGGCGTTTCAAGCACTCTGGAGCCATCCAGCTGCAATAAGGACATCTACGTTCCTGAGATTTCGGGAAAACTATGAAGGCATTCCTCCAAACAAAGGAAGACAAGTAAGGCATGAGATTCTGAAATGGAGAAGTTGCCTAGTGTAGGAGAGGTTCATGCGCGCGTTTCTGGCCTCCGCTCATCTAGTCTACAGCTGCCACGGCACGTCGTATGTAGTTGGGGACCATCAAAGGGAGGTCGTATTCGATTTGGAGAAAAATGTTTACTGTCGTCGTTGCTCCTCCACCCCCCCCCCCCCATCTGGTCCTCCATGCAGCTTTTTTGAGAAGAACTGGGCAAATTCTCCAGGGGAATAATTGGGAGTTGGGAAATTCAGGAAGGGAAGCTGGAAGGTAGGATGGAGATGGGAAAAGGGATCGCGTCATCGTTGCCCAGCGGCTTGACTGTTCAACTGGACGTCCCTGCTTGTTCTCCTCAGCTCAGGTCTCTTGCATCTGACTTCAATCATTATCTCATGGGTGAGCCAAAGAGAGACGGTAGAGAGACAGCACACCACCTCTCTCCGCCCGCTCCCCCCCCCTCTCCACCCTACTTCCTCCTAGGTTTGCCCTCACGCACTTGCTGGCGTGAACTGATATGTGAATACAGGTAGGCTGTTACGAGCAGCAACGTCAGTCGAAGAGTTTCTCGTAATGATTTCGAAGTTGCATACCGTAATGGAATTTGTTCTAATGGAGGTTCGCCTTCGCTTTCTCCACCTTTGCCTCCTAGTTCTTCGGCTATTTTCGATAATCCAAAGTCGGAAATCTGAAGTGTAGGTTTCTGTCGATGCTGCCATTCTGTTAGAAATACCAAGTGACGGGAAAGCCAGCTGGTTCGTCGAAGACACCGTATCAAGACACAATCGATAGTCGAATGAAAAAGCAAAAGGCGAGGACTCATAACAATCCCGTCTAGATGCAACCCTCGTAGACAGCAGTGGCGCTGCAGTGACGAGGACACAACAATCATGAGTCTCCGCCCTCTTTTGTTCTAATTTTGACATTCGCAAAGAGTGCCTTAAAGGCAGTTGGCACGATAAATCCCCCAAGACGACTAGGATCAATACTCCTGGCAGGATAGAATTCCGCGACCCTGGGCAGGCGCTGCATAGCGGTTTCCCCGAGGAAGGTGCCCTTATAAGGGCCCTATCAAGCCACAACTTTACGTCCCAAACGCCCGCCACGCCCGCCCGCCCACAAATGGACGACCGTTCCTGACGCTCGTATTCATTCATTTGCTAAGCAAATTATGAAGCGAAGGGATTGGTATGAAGCGGCCGTGATGCTGCATGCATACATGGGTACACATATGCAGCCGTATCTTCGGTAGCGGTGATTGGTAAGATGCCTACGGGAAACTCGTCCGAAATCGATTTACAAGTCACTGAGAACGGAGGCTTTTTCTTCGCAGGATTTTGACCGTTTCACTCCGTTCTTTTCATTTCGCCATTTCCCCACTATACAGCGCCCTATAGCATTTTAGGCTTAGTAGGAAACCATCGTGCCAACTGCCTTCAAGTCCGAGAATATCCAACTACCATAAATGAGCAGATCTACGGAGACTTACTTTGATAAAACCCATCTCTGATATGAGACAATTTCTGGCTGCCAGATCTCGATGAACACACGATTTCGAATGAAGATACCTCATTCCTCGTGCTGCCTGAACTATTTCCCACCCTAGCTATTAGCTTCAGCTCATTCTGGACTACTTCCGAATCTTCTCACCTCTGATGCATAGCAGATTAACTCGGGTACTTCTATTTTCTCCTTGTACTTTTGAAGATGATCTTGTAAATTACCACCGGGACAGAATTCCATCACAATCATTACTGGATAGTGGTCGCAGGCAACGCCATACAGCTGAAACATCGATAATCGCTTCGTGGAACTGTGATTCAATCCTTCTTGTGAAGTTTTTTTTCTGCGTGAGAGATAGAGAGGCTTCACCAGAATGCCCCAGCTTAGCCACTTGCATACGACGTGCTCCATTATGCCATGTGTCCTGAGAGCTGCAAATGCTGTGCGTTTCATGAGGTGCTACTCCATTCTCTACCCTACTGCTTAAGTGCGGAAGCAAAACAGTGGAAAAAGGGCCGTCAAGTTCGGCTCTCACAGGCCCTGACATCCACAGCGGACAAGTCTGCAAGTGGAACATTCTGCAGTTGCGGACATTGCCCTCTTTTCCAGTGAAGGGCCTTCGCACGTCTGCTAGTCATGAACTATGTTTTCAAAATTCGTGTCAAGACAAGATGCCAATTTAGGGGGGGGTTACACTACAGCAGGCATGATTAACGAATCCTCAACGGTCAAGTTGGCCAGTCGCAAGTAAAAGGATTTTCAACCTTTAAAGGGCAATGTATGGATATTAATATGGGGGATACAGGAACTGTAGAAGTCGAGAACTGTAGAAAAGAATCGAGACCAAGGCACGTCCTGTCGGAGAGAATCTTTTGCAAATTACGACCGTTGCAAGCTTACTCCTTTGGCACCCAATAAGTCGAATCTCCCCATCCCCCAGTGGGGGTGGGTATCCTGATGGTTTCCTGGTGATAAAGGAATAGCGCGTGTGAAATTAAGGCCGCATACGACCCCTCCATCCTAAAACGAAATCGATTCTTTGTCTTTTACTTGGCCACGGAAGGGCCTTATTTGGAAGCGTTTCCAGTGGCTTCCTCTTTTTTCCTATCAGTAATCAACTATTCAGCATACAAATGTTTTCTAACCCGCTACCTACAGACTTTTGCCACCTCATCGTGATGTCAGCCTTCAAACAATGACCTGCTGGAGCCAGTAAGCGTTCAACTGAATGAACCCGAATAATAAAGGACTAGGTAACCAAGGTAGGCGTGAATGGAAAGCTCGTTCAGCCTCGGCGGATTGCGATTGCGATGAATGATTCCAGCATCTCTTGCACTGCCTTTTTTCACCCAATAAAGCGTCCGGATTTCAGAAATTGTAGAGGCTCACCTGTATGACGTGCTTGTGAACGTAGTAACTCATCAAATGAGCTTCATGCATCATGGACTCCCTGGCTTTTTTCGATTCCTCGGTCATCGTATCAATCGACGCTCCATGACAAATCTGCAATGCTTCATTGTGTAAGGGAGCGGAACGTACAGTAAATACTGTGTTCCTACCTTGATTGCCACTTGGATTATATCGTTTTCTTCTCGTTCATACATTCCTTTATACACTTTACAGAAGTTACCTGTGCCAATCA